GAATGGGACATGGGGCTTTTTGACTCTATGGGGGCACCAGCTCCAACCCAGCTCCAGGGCGGGGAACAGGCTGGTTCAGTGGGGTGGGAAATGGGACATGGGGCCTTTCCCCTCTAGGGAATGCTGTGATTGGCTGCTTGTGCCCGCCTTGGTGCACTGGGAAGGCTCTGATTGGCTGCCTTCCCTTGCCCCAGGTACACCGCTCTGACAGGCTGCTCCCCCTTCGAGATCACCCACAAGCAGGAGATGTACCAGTGCATCCGGGAGGGCCGGTACCCCATCCCCAACCACCTCTCGCCAGGCGCCAGGAAGCTGATCGGCTGCCTGCTGGCGCCCAGCCCCTCAGAGCGGCCCAGCCTGGAGGAGGTGTTGGAACACGAGTTCTTCACCCAGGTCCGGGCGCTGCTGGGACGGGCGAGTCGCTCCCGGCGGGCCCCCATCCTGAGCGGCGCTGCGACCCCGTGTGCCAGGTCGCTACGCTGCTTGGTAGAGCCGGGCCTGATTGCGGGTCATGCCCTTGCACCCGCGAACCCCGTCTAGGCGCCCAGGGTGGGCGTGCACCTGTGCTGCCCTCTTAGGAAGAATGCCACCGCCCCTCGCCCAAAGCCCCCGGAAGGCTCCAGTGCCCTTAGCTCAGCTGCAAAGAGCTGTGGCCGTGCCTGGTGCAAACAAAGCAAATAGGATCCAGGCACAGGCACTGGCCGGTCTTGTATCCAGCCCCCGACACGGTGCCCCAAGTCCCTGGGCTGGTTACTCCAGCCCCTCTGGGTTCCTTCCACCATCCCTGGCATCTGTGGCCCCGTCTAGCCCTGGTCCCCGTATGAACTGAGGGGTCCTTGCCCTGCCCCCTCCATGGCACCAGCGCGTGGTACGGCCGGGAATGGAGTGACGTGGCTCTCGTCTCCCAGGGTTTCACTCCGGACAAGCTGCCATCCCGCGCCTGCCACTCGGTGCCCGTCTTCGCCCTGCCCAACCCGATTGGCAAGCTCCTGAAAAAGGCGGCCAAGGTGCTGTTCAGGGGGTTGCCATGCCAGGAGCCCCGGGCAGGTGGGTCAAGCGGCCGCGTCCCCCCGTGCTCTGGGCCGGGCTTGGCAGTACCCATGTCACATCACGGCTCTGCTGTGTCTCCATCCAGGTAGCCCAGTGCCCGGCGAGGAGCCGGAAAAGCTGAGATCCCAGCAGGCTCAGAACCTGCCCAGCCTGGAGCACCACAGCGAGGTAGGAGGGGTCCGCGGGGAGGGCCCTGGGGGGGTCTGCAGCCCGGCTCTCCCCTCTCTCACCCGCTGTCCCCGTCTCCCTGCCAGGTGGAAAGAGGCAGTGTCCAGGCTGCGCCGTTCCCCGAGGCCCCCAGCAGGTTCTCCATCCATCTGCTCATGACGGGAGCCCTCAGGCCCAGCCGCTCTGGTGCCAACTGTAAGTGGATGCTGTGGGCTGCGGGTGCCAGGCAGGCGTCTCGGGGGGCACTGGAGCCCATTGGAGCAGAGTCCCAGAGGCAGGGGGGCGACTTTGATCCTTACAGCTCGGGAGGGGCGGGGCCGGCAGCCTGGGACAGACCTTGAAGCCACATTTCCCAGACCGGCCTCCAGCTGTGGGGCCTGGAATTTGGGAGGGTTCTTGGCTGGAGACATCCAGGGCCCGATCCCAGCTGGGAGCGGCATGTGCTGAGCCCCTGCTGGGGATCGGGCCCTGGGGGGGACTCCCGTTGGGCCCCCAAACCAGACACCTCTCTCGGCCTCCACCTCCCTTGGCCAGGGGCTCGGAGCAGCCCCCAGTAGGGCCGCCAGGAGCCTGCTGGGCCGGGATCGCTGCAGTACGAGGCCCCCGCCTCCCTAGGGTTGTCGACTGTCAGGGCAAGAGAGCACATGAGGCTGGCTGGGCAGAAATGAATCCAGCCATCTGCTGTGCTCACTCTGGGAAGCATTGACTAGCGGTTAGATGAGGGTGGGAGGATCAGAACTCCTGGGTTCTCTCCCCGGCTCTGGGAGGGGAGTGGGGTGTAGTGGTTTGATTGGGGGGGTGCGATCAGAACTCCTGGGTTCTCTCCCCGGCTCTGGCAGGGGAGTGGGGTGTAGTGGTTTGATGGGGTGGGGGGGGGAAGAATCAGAACTCCTGGGTTCTCTCCCCGGCTCTGGCAGGGGAGTGGGGTGTAGTGGTGGGGGCTGGAAGGTGGGGGGCAGAGGGGTGACCCTGCCAGGCCTACAGCGGGTGCCATGCATGGTGCCCTGATCCCGGCCCCGTCTCTGCAGCAGATGCAGGCTGGAGCGTGGCGAGCGCGGTGCAGTCAGTCACCAGGGTGCTGAGCAGCTGCCTGGAGAACATGCCTCTGGGTAAGAGGGACCCTGGCGCCGGAGACCCACAAACCCCTGCACGCCCAGCTCCATCATCCCCTGGGCCTTCCTCAGCCTGGGCACCAAGCCCCCCGTGCGCACCTGGCCGGATATGGGTGGTCTCTGGGCTGGGCTGACTGGACCCACCCTGGGTGCAGGCTCCAACTGGGCCACTGTCCAGCCCTTGGGCCGCGTGGCGGGGGCTGGGACTCCATGCTGGGGGGGGTGGGATTGCCCCATGGGGCCTGGCAGTGCCAGGGGTCGGGCCAGGCCAGTGGGGGGCTGCTCAGGTTGCCTCCTGACCTCACCTGCTCTGTCAGGGCCTCTCCCCAGCTGGCCGGGCACCGGGGGCCTGTGGGGGCCTCTCTGCTGGGCCTCAGGCTCCCCTCTTTCTCCTTGCAGCCGAGCACAACCCTGTGCAGCGCCTGGCACCGCCCGTCCTCTGGGTCACCAGGTGGGTGGATTATTCCAACAAGTACGGCTTCGGCTACCTGCTCTCGGACGGCTCCACGGGTGCCCTGCTGGCCGACGGCACCCACCTAGCCCTATGCCCGCAGTCACCGTAGGTATCCCCCGGGCACCGGCCTGGCCCTTTGCCCCCTCCCCCGGGCACCTGCCTTGCCTTATGCCCTCTGCCCCCACCTGAGAATCCACCTGGCCCTCTACCTTCCCAGCACCCACCTCAGCATCTGCCTTGCCACCCCTGGAGCCCTCTGCACAGTCACCCCCTCTCAGACACCCATCACCCCCTCTGCCCACGCAGCAGTACGTACCTCCACACCCTCCCCCCTAACCCTCTGCTCAGGCCCCCTGACACCCACCTCGCCTGGAACCTGCCCTGGCAGGTCTCTGGGTACCTGGGACACCTGCTGCCCCCTCTCCCGGGGTTTGCCTGGCGCCCTCCCAGCCCCCGGGCCGCTGCTCCAGCCTCACTGCTTTTTGTTGCTTCCTTCCAGGCGTGTCTGCTACTGCCCGGGGCGCGGGGAGGCCGTGTCCTTCCCCCGGAGCGACGTGCCCGCCTCCCTGGCCACGAAGATGGGCGTCCTGCACTTCTTCTCCCAGTACATGCAGCAGAAGCTGCTGGAGGTGAGGTCCCGGGGCCGGGGAGACCCTGGGGCTGGGCGGGGCGGGAGAATCACTGGGCCGGGAGCGCGGGATATGCCAGTGGCGGCTGGGGGAGGCCCCAGGGTGCAGTGCCATGGGGGGGGGCCATCCACGTGCCCTGCCTGTGCTGCCCCCGCTTGCAGGGGAGGGGCCCAGCCGTGGCTGCGGCAGCGGACCCAGGGGCTGAGCCCCAGGTGAATTTCCCATCCCCTCTGGGCTGTGCCTGCGTGGAGGGCTATAAGGGGGAGCCACACTTGGTGCCCCCCCGGCCCAGCCAGCTGCCTGACGCTGCTCCTGCTGGCAGGGGGGGAACGAGCCGGCGGGTCCCAGCAGCTCCACAGACACCCCTTGTCTCCTGTGCTGCGCCAAGTCGGACCGGGCACTGCTGATGCTCTTCAGCAACGGGACGCTGCAGGTAACCCACCCCCCGGCGCACCCTTGAGCCGCTCCCCCCGTCCCCCACTCTAGCCTCTCCTCGCCCGGTGCCCCCCCCCGAGCCTCTCCCCCATCCTCCTGCCCCATGGCCGCTCCCCCCTCTCCCGAGCCTCTCCTCCCCCAGTGCCCCCCTGAGCCTCTCCCCTATCCTCCCGCCCCATGGCCGCTCCCCCCTCTCCGGAGCCTCTCCTCCCCCAGTGCCCCCCTGAGCCTCTCCCCTATCCTCCTGCCCCATGGCTGCTGCCCCCTCTCCCGAGCCTCTCCTCCCCCAGTGCACCCCTGAGCCTCTCCCCCATCCTCCTGCCCCATGGCTGCTCCCCCCTCTCCCGAGCCTCTCCTGTCTCTGTCCTCCCCACCTCCCTCTGCAGACCTAGGTTGCACTGGTCTATCCGGTGTCACAAGTGAAATGAGTTTGAGGGCCTCAGCCGCGTTCCACCCTCCCCATGGGCTGCAGCACAGCCTGGCCGGGGTGACAGGCCCGGGGCTGGGCTAGTGGGGAAAGCGGGGCCTCAGCAGGGCTGTGGTCTGTGACCCCCCACCCACTACCCACACTGCCCCGAGGCCCTGTCCTGGCAGCAGGGCCGGACAGCGGGGGCTGGAAACCCCTTGTGAAAGGGGGGCGTAGGTGTGAGGGCAGCTGGGGGCTGGCAGTGAGGGGGCAGAGGGGTCAGAACTGGAGGGCAAGGGGGAGGGGGTGGAGCAGGAGCCCCCACCCCGCAGCCAGAGCCCCCTAAGCCCATGGGGGCTGGTCCCATTGTCTGATCCCAGCAGCGGGGGCCACCAGCTGGGCTCCCTGGCCCTCCCCAATGTGTGCGGGGGGGGGAGGGCGTTATTAACCCTCTCCTGGCCCAGGGTCTGTGGGACGCTGCGTCACTCGCCCTCCCCTCTCTGCCCCGCAGGTCAATTTCTATCACGACCACACCAAGCTGGTGCTGAGCTGCCCAGACGGTGGGCACCTCCTGACCTTCATCGACGAGCAGCGCGTCAGTGCCACCTTCCCGCTGGGTGCCCTGGCCGCGGGGGGCTGCTCCCCGGCCCTGCGGGAGCGCCTGCAATACGCCCTCAACATGGCCCACTGCCTGTAGCTGACTCCGCTGCCGCCCCCGGGAGCCGGACCCGCTGCCCAGCGCCAGGCCTGGCATGGACACGGACACAGGGCGGCTGAGGTGATGTGGCGGCCCGGGGCAGGCCCATTAGGGGCTCTTATGGGACCCCATTTGATGATCAAACTCTGCTCCCCGGCTGGAGGGGTGCTGTGGAGACATGAGTCCTTTCCGCTCTGCCCCTCGCTCCCCCTGGAACCAGCGGGGCCTGGAGATGTCCATTTGCCCAGTGCCAACGCCAGCCCAGGAGCTTCACCCACTGGTGTCCCCTCAGGATGGGATTTGGGGCGCAGCAAACAGGCCTTGGCCTTCAGGGGTGGCTCCCAAAGGGGAGCTGGAGCAGCGGGCGCGGCGGGGGGGCACCAGGCTGCCCCGAATGCCTGGGGCCGGCGGCCAGGCAAACTGGGGAGTTGCTGCAGGCTCTGGGGCTGGAGCTGGGCCAGGCCTGACCGCTCTGCGCTGGCGGAGGGTGGGGAAGGGGCCTGCTGGGCCAGGATCCCACCCAGACTGGAGCCAGGATGGGAAGAGGGAACTGAAAGCCAAGGTTATGTGATGGAGGGAGGCGCTCTGAGGAGGCAAGAGAACCCAGGAGTCCAAGTGTGGGAGGATACAGAGCTGGAGGGAGCTGGCTGGAGGGGGAGTGGAGGAAGGTGAAGGAGCTGGGGGGAGGTGACTGGGGGTCAGGGGCGTCTGGTTGGTTCTGGGCCCCGTTGAGTCTAAACTCCTCTCCCTGCCCAAGGAGGCGGCCAGGCCTGGCCCGGCCCAGTGGTTCTGGCCGCACCCTGGGTTGGGGGTGAGGGGGTCGCAGGTGCCAGCTGGCGCTGAGGTTGGGGGGAGCAGGCGAAGAGAGGGGCTGGTCACGTGCACGTACCCCAGCCCTGAGGGGTGCACAGACCACCGGGGACAGCGTGGAGGGGCGTGGCAAAGCAGGATGTGAATGTGGGGGGCTGCAGATAGGGAGCGAGGGAGATGGGCAGAGCTGCGAGGCCCCGGAGAGGCCAGGGCTGGGAGAGCAGGACCAGCCGGTCGCTAGCTGCAGCCTGTCGGCAGCGCAGGGGCTGGGCTGGGGTAAGTCCTAGAAATACGGTTCCAAATTAAACTCCTGTGGCCGCGGTTTAGCAGCGTCTGATTCTGAGGGCTCTGGGGCTGTGGCACGGGGCTCCGGCCCTCAAGGGGGCTCTGCAAACCTGCCTTGGATGGATCAGTAGCCTGGCAGATAGAGCACTTGGCTGGGACGCCGGTGCCCTGGGTGCTGTTCCTGGCGCTGCTCCGTGCCTCAGTTTCCCTCTCTGTAAAATGGTATCATGCCGCTGTCCTCCGTTAAACAGCACTTTGACCTACCGAGAAAAAGTCCTAGGTCAGAGCCAGGGGTGATTATTAGTGACCCAGACGCAGACCCCGGCTGGTGCCCAGGACGTGGCTGGAGTTGGCGCGGCCCCTGCCTGGTTTCGAGCTGACCAGCTGCCCTGTCGCCCGGCCCACTAGCCAGGGGCACTAAGCGGCTACCTTTGCCATGGACTGAAAGGGCCAGAGGCTTAGTCTGTTCTCCCTTCCCACGCCTGGTTTCCATCCTAGTGCACGTGGCACTGAGCTGAGCCTGCGCTGGGGTAGGAAGCATCCAGCCCTGCTCAGCAGCTGCCCTTCCTCTGTAAAGGGATGGCGGGGAATCCCCCCCACAGCACCTTGCAGCCCCTGGAGGGCTCTCACAAACCCACCCACATGTGGATCACAGCGAGCGCTGCAGGACGCTGACGCCCAGAGCAGCCAGACAAGCGGGCACCAGCTGGGAGCAAGGCCCTGGCAGCACATCAGGGGCCTGAGGGGCAGGGCGCTGCCCGACTGGGCGGGAGAGAGGGCAGAGGGCAGCCGAGTGGCGCTGCCCCAGCCTGCCTGGCTGGTCTTGTTCCTTGAGTGGGGCTGGGGTTGTCACTTCCTCCACTGCCCCTGCCCCGATCCAATAGCGTGGGCTGCACCCGAGCGCGAGTCTCCGCCAGCTGCTTCGCTGTGGCCCTGCGTCACCCGCCGGGTGCGACATGAATTGCAGGGGGCAGCACTGAGCAGAGCCCATGGGGGGCCCAGAGAGCCTGGCTCATGGAGGTGCCAGGCACAGGGGTATGTGTGCGTGTGTTTGTACACGTGTGTGCCCTTACGCGTGTGGGTACATGCATGCGTCTGGGTGTGCACTTACCCGGGTGGGTCCATGCGTCTGTGTCTGCCTGTCCTGGCACACCCCTGGGTACACGCACACGTCTGTCTCGGTGCGTCCTTGCACACACGCGTACACGCCCATGTGCATGTTTTGGCTAACGTGCTTAGCGGAGAAACAACAGGAAATTCCAGCTCTGGCGATAGGGGCTCGCGCTAAGCAGGGCAAAGGCCTCTCGCTCTTCCGTAGCCAGCTGGGGTCAGAGGTTGTAACAACAGGCGGCTGCTGATTCCGAAAGGCCCTGGCCCGGCAGAGCCGTGACTAACCAGCCCCAAGGCCCCGTGGCATTGGCTTTCGGCCGGGAGGAAGAGGAGAGCACGTGTTGGGTGTGCAGCGGGCTGGCGGGGAAGGCGGGGGTGTGCAGTGGTTACAGCCCGGGCGCTTGTCATCCTGGCCACTGGCATACTGGGTTGGAGCGGAATGAGCTAATGCTGCTGGCGGTGGCTGGCCAGGGTGGGTGCCCATAGCCCTGGCCCTATAGGGAGCTGTTCTGTGTCTGACCCCCCCATGGCCGGCCCTTGCCAAGAATGCAGAGCCCGGCTCACATGCCCCGTGTTCGGAGATTAGCCCCTTGAGTGCGACAAGGTCCCAGCGACGAGCCTATCGGGCCCTTTCAGCCGTACACGGTGGAGGAATGCGCCCTGCTCCCCCCGCAGAGCCCCCACTTGGGAACGAGCCCCTGCGAGAACGGACCAAGGACCACGGGGCCAGCGCTGCAGCAAGTCCCATGTCATGGCTTTCCCGGCTCTGCCAAGCCCTTCCCCCTCCCATGGGTCCTAGCTGGGTGCTTCATGCCCTGGGTCTGGCGCCCGCGGCACTCCATGCCCCCTGCATGACAGCCCTGCCCAGGAAGAGGCGCCAGGAGCAGGGAGGTGTGTGGTTCACATGCCAGGGCCCAGACTCCTGCCCCCTCCCCACTTGCTTCTCCTGGGACAGTCTCTTCCCCTTGCTGTGCCTCCATTTCCCTACAGGCCCCGGCCTGTCCCATCCCTCCCTGGGCAGGACCAGCTGGAGAAATCGAGGGGGAGCCTGGGTGCTGGGAGAGAGGTAGCCTGCTCGTACCCCCCCTGCAGTGAAGCCTGGCCGAGCACCCTGGCTGCCTGGCAGGGCTAATTCGGGTTCTGCTATTTAAACTGCAGCCATGTATTAAAAGACCAGACAGGACAAATCAGGCTGGGACTGGGGCTGGCTCTTCGCCCCCCCCCAAGCACTAGGGATCCCTTCTGCCCCGCCTGAGAGTGGGTGTGCGCATGGGTTAGCATTCACCCCCATGCCACACGCCCTCACGCGGGGGCAAATGCTCATGGGGTAGCACCCAACCTTCCTCATCAGAATCGGGCCCCTGCGGTGCTGGGCACCATCCAGAGAGGAAGACGCAGTCCCTGCCCCAGACAGCTCATGGGCTGGCAGGCTGCATGGTGCAGGGAGCGCGGCACTGCCGGGTTCATGTTCATGGATGTGCCACAGGAGCGCCGCTGCGGGGCCGGGCTCTTTCACCACCAGGGCATGCGGGGGGCATGGCTTCGAACAGCCAGACCCCAACACCCTCAGCTGAAAACACCCAGCAGACAAAGCTGCCCCCTCGGGGGTGGCATAAGGGCTGCAGGCAGGTAGGAGGCTGGCAAACAGCATGCCTGGCACAGGTGGGCCCTGCGGAGATGAAGGCCACATTACGCTAGGGGCTGTACGAGGGCCAGATTCACTGCAGGAGGGAGAGGCTCCATTGAGCAGCTAGATCTGCCTTGGTTTCTGCTCCTGGGCTCTAGCACGTGCCAGAGGAACCGGCTGCAAGAGCGTCCCAGGCGATCCGAGCGGGCCTAAGAGGGCAGGCTGCCCCCACCTCTAGGCGCTGCCCCTCCTCCGCTTGGCACGGCCTGCCTGACACCCAGCCCCGCCAGGGTTAAGAACGAGGCCCAAGCGCACCAGCTGGGGTTGCAGGGAGGACCCAGATGGGGCCCGTCAGGAGGGTACGAATAGCAGAGCCCGTCTCCAGCTCCCGGGGGGTAGAAGGGGGGGTTCTTTGGCTGATTTCACCGGAGCCTCTGCTCCAGCCCCCGGCCTGAACACAATGCCCGGGCGCCTGCCAAGCACGCAGAGCTGTTTGTAAAGCGATAGGCTGCCCTGGGGGAGTTGGTTCGGGGGCGGGGGGGGAGACAGGATGGGAGCAGAGGAATGCAAAGGTCAGCGATGGTCAAGGTGATCCTGCCCACGGCCCCGGCTCCACCCGCCTTATTTCGGGTCGGAGAAGCCCAGACGGCGGCGAGCTCTAGAATCCATCACGTCTAGCCCCGGCTGGCCAGGGAAGGCCCATTCCCACTACAGCTGTGGCAGGCCTCGTCGCCTTGTGGTCCCAACTCCCAGCTGGGAAGGGAAAACCTGATCCTCTCCCCCACCCCAGCAGCCACCCTCCTAAACTGCTCCAAAAATAGAGCCCAGCCCAGGCCAGCCCCCGAGTTCTGAGCCCTGGAGACGAAAGGACATGCCCGAAGCCCAGACGGGTCTGCATGGGAACAGCCGCAGACCAGTCCTGCTGCATGGGGCAGAAAACGGCTGCACGCTGCCCCCTGCAGGGGAGAAGTGCTTTCTGCAGCCCCAGACATCCATGCTCAAAGCCCCCGTGATCCCAGCACCGTGCAATGGGCTGCAGCGGGGAACGGCAGTGTGGGGAGAGCTGTAGCCATGAGCCACATCTTAGGACGTGGGTTATGAAATAAAACACTGATTGTTCAGTGTCCGATTGTTCAGAGCTCTGCAGGGCAGGGCCCGGCTCTTTATTCTGGGTTTGTACAGCACCTAGCACAGTGGAGTCCTGGCACATGACTGGGGCTGCTAGGAGCAACTGCAACGCCCAGGATAACCATCAACCCTGTAATTTAAGGAGGTATAAGGGTGGAAAGAGGGAGGAAAGCTGGTGAGTGCTAACTTAGGACGTGGAAGTCCCACATTCAATTCCTGGTCTGCCACAGTCTCCCTGTGACCCGGGGCAAGTCACAATCTCTCTCTGCCTCAATGCTCCCATCTGCACAATGGGTAGAACAGCCCAGACATGCTGTGATGATAAATACATTAGAGATGCTGAGGTTTGCTCTCACCAAAGACAGGAGTCCTGCTGAAGCCCACCAGAAGCTTTTCCCTTCTCTTTCCCCAACATTCTCGAGACGAGGCGTGGGCAGAGACCGAGTGACATCAGCTCAGTTTACGAAAACTCTTTATTAGCGCTAAGAACCATGTAAAATCCAACCCCGGTAACAAGCAGGGCTGGACGTGACCGTTACAAAACTCCACGGGCACCACCCTGGCCTGGGAGGAGATTAACAGAAAATAACCTGACCTCTGCCCCGGCTGGATCGGGGGAGGCGAAACGGGGTCAGAGGGGAAAGTGGCCACGCTCCGAGGCCAAGGTGCCCAGTGCGGTACGGGTTTGTTCCTTGCCATGGGGCACGTGAGTCAATTCCAGTGCTAGTGAAAGCGAGGGGACGAGCGCTCCCTGCTTTGAGGGGACACCACACAGGCTACCAATACAGCTTAGAGCCACGCTGCTATTCCAGTCCTGAGCCCGCCTTGAGCACAGATTGCCACAGCGTTTGGTGGGTTGTGTGGGACGATAGGGAGGGTCCACAACTAAAGGTGCCTCCCTGTGACCCGGGGCGGACACGAATTCCAGCCTCTGCATGCAAACCGCAAAGGCGAGCTCTGAGAGGCGCAGCACAGAGGCCTGGTTAGAAGAGAGGAAAGCGTACAGTTTATCCCATTCCAGCTTATTCAGTAAAAAGACTAAGTGGGTTGAAGGGGGCGGGGAAGGAGGTCAAAAGGCAGATCCCTTAATCCCAGAAACTTTACACTTAAAAAAGAAACCCACCCACACTATTGATACATAACAGCGATGAGCCATGTGTGCGCGGATGCCCAGAGACAGAGCTTATGTCTAGAACGGGGGGAGAGAGAAAACGCATGTAAAGTACACATCACATCACTTCTTACATACCCAGCCCAGGGATGGAACGTCCGGAAGCCGACCCAAATAACGGGGAGGTGGGCGGCGAGAAAGGATCCCACATCCAATCGCCTTCCCCGGTCACCAGAAGGGGCAGGGAGACAGGGCTGCATAGGTGGTTTCACCTGCATGGCTCGTGAAGCCATTTTTGCTGATCCTTTTGTGTATCTGGATTTTTCGTGGTGAATAACACTGAGCCAGGCGCGGAGGGGAAAAGCTACGATTTCTTTATACAAATAAATACAGAAGGGGTGGGGGGTGGAATTTAAAACAATCTGAATTGGGGGGGGGGGATGCTTTATTTCAAAGATTTAACGAAGAGATCCAGCGGAACCCATCCCATAGCGCAGCCCAGTTTTCTACAGGGGGATAACGTTCCAATCCTGCGTCCAGGGCGCTCAGCATCTTGACACATTTGGCTGTACATGGCGACAGGTTTCTGGGTAACAGCAGAGACGTAACAGTCACTGAGCCCTTTTGATGTTCACAGCCGGAGAAGGAAATGAGAATCAAAGGAAGCTGCGGGGGGGGGGGGGGGGGGGCGCCAAGGTGGCTGGCAGGTGTTGCTCTTACAATGTAACACATTTTGTGTGGAGGATCCTGAAGCTGGAACTTAAGGGTAGGGGTTGATTTGCAATTCAAAGAGGGGGGGCTGGACAGGTTGCGGGCAGGGGTCCTGTCCGGATTGTTCACGTTGTTTGCAGCAGCTGCCATGCCAACAGAAGCACCAGAAAACAACAGTCTCGCCCCGCCCAGGGAGAATGGAAGAGCGGAAAGTCAGGAGGTGGCAGGGACGGCCTGCCCATGGCAGACCCTGCCATCTCCCACAAGGAGCTAAACTCCCGGAGTTCGGTTTCTATCCTTCCCCATTGCCCAAATCTGCTCAGCCAGGCTTGGCAGACAGAGCTGCATCCAGCTGCCGAACAGCAGCACAGGGGTAGACGCTGTTTCTCGGAGCACAGGCTGGGGGCGAGCTCCTGAGCTGGGCACTCTAAAATGTGAAGGTTGTTAAAGGGGCAAAGACATCCTGAAATCGAGTCTGGTAAAAGAAAAGAATCGAAAGCGGTTGCAGTTTCTACTCCAGTCCCTGGGGCCTGGAGCCTTCTCCAATTTGGGTGAATGTTTACACCCCCATTTTCCTTTGTGGAGAAACAAAACATTTCTCTCTCCTGTTACTGAGAAACCCAAAACAAGGCAAACTGACCAGAGAAGAGCAGAACGGTGGGTGACATCCTGGCCCCACGGAAATCAGTTTCATGAAGTGCTGTCAAATGCACAGGGTGGGGGGTGAAAACGAGGGATGTAAAAGGTTCACCGGTAAGCATTAGGCTTACCGTTAACCGGCCCTTAACCGTTAACCCCTGCAGCTGGCTGCACCGGCCAGCAGGACTCCAGCCCCGGCCGCGCCGGGCCGGGTGGGAAACCTGGAGCGGGCCCGGCCATGTCGGGCAGGACACGGCACCGGGTCGGGCGGGCTGGAGTGGTCCCGGCAGGACCCCATCCCCTGCCGCCCTGCCAGAGCAACATCGGTTAGCGGTTAACCAGTTAACCGATAGAATTTTAATCGTTTAACTGGTTAACTTTTTAAACCGATATTTACATTCCTAGTGAAAACATAGGGAAAATATCCACCCACCCCCAGATCTTTTAATCCAGGCGGAAGTGTGAGTTTTAAATGAATGGGGGGGACCCTTTAAGCCGAAGCAAGAAACACAGCTGCAGGTGTTCTTTTTACAAGAGTGGCACACGTTTTCAGAAAGGTCCAATAACAGCACCGGGCACCCACCGTTCCAGCTGAAATCAACACCCTCAGGAAAAAAACAACAAGCCTTGAGAGACTCAGGTTGGCTCTCCCAACAATTGAGGAGCTCAAATTCAGTGACTACTTTTAAAAACTTTGCACCTCTCTCTGTTTGCGCTCGCCTTGCCCTGCCCAGGGCGGGGGAGTTTGGGGGAAATTTCAGACAGAAAATAAAAAGGTTGGTTATTTGGGTTTTAACCCCATTTACCAGCTGCAGTTAGAACAGAGATGGATCAACAGTGGTTTGGGGGATAAGCACAGAGAAAAAGGGGGGTGGATAAGAATCAATTTATACGTCAAATCTTACCCTAGTGGGAGGCTTGTACCATTTAAGTGAATTCACACTTTGCTACAGTCCTTAAAAGCGATGCTTCAAAGTGCATCCGCTAAAAGAAGTAGGTGAGATTCCTGCCTGGCAGTTCTGTAACACTCAGTCCAGCAGCAGCAGTAATTGACATTAAGCAGCTAATAAATATTTCCAATGACTCTCCCTGTCTTACATCTAGTGTTACACTATACAAGAGTAGGACTCAAGAAGTATGAAATTTCAGATATGGAGGAGGAAGAACAGTTTTAGCCAGAATCTGCCGTGGTTTTCTACCGTCCCTGAGGAGAAGCAGGGGGGAGAGTAGATGATGCAACTCAGCTGGATCATTGTACAAGAAGGAGCTGAATCGCGTCCCTGCTTGGTTTTACACAGCACAGCAAAACACTAGACCAAAAAGGGACCTTGCCGAAATGAGCGAAGACAGCGGTTAGCCATCTCGGGGCAGGGGAGGAGGGACTGATTCACAGCCACAGCCTATGGAGCATTTCATAACGGATGCGTCAGTCAGTCAAGGGTCTGAGCAACCCACCGCCAGACGCCTGGATTGCAGGGGGAGACCAACGCCTCTGACGACAGCCTGCAAGCAGGCGAGAAGTGGCTAGTCAGCGAGGGAGGCACATGGTGCTAGCACTGGCCTCTGCGCTAGGCCGTACCCGAGGGCGGATGGAGTCGCTGCTCACACAGGTTTCTCTGCAGTGCAAACAGGGCCCTGAGCCAGCTGACTTTCACCAGCTCCCCAGGTGGACATTAAAGGATCCCTAGCCAGGTCACTAGGCCCCTAGGTCTTTGTATCCCTGCGGGCCACGTTGCTGTCGTGTGTCTGTGGCCCCAGCTTCCTGGACCGGAGATGCAGCGGCCCGGTAATGTTACAATATTGACGCCCCCCCGGCGTTGTTAGCATCCGAGCTTGCAAAGTATTGACCGCCCAGAAGAGGGCGCTTGGTACCTTTGCAGGATGGGGTCCCTTCCAGTTCTGAAACACTCACCCACTAGGGGAGGAAGAGGAGGAGAGGGGACGGCGCCCCTTCTGAAATGGGCTGGAATTGCATTTGCTTTGATCAAAACAAAACGGGGGAAGTTCTGAGCCGAGTCTCCTCGACCCAGGTGGTGATGCTGGGGCGGGAGGGGACTAACCCCCCCACTCGCCCAGCAGGCTTGTAGTGTGGAGGGGAATATTCCTTTTGGGGTGAGCGAGGCTATTAAGATAGCACAGGTGCACTTCGTGGCTTTTTACATCTTGGCCTCGCAGCCGGGTTTATTCGGAGGTTTCCAATCTGCCCACTGGAGAGGAGACCGAGCCCAAATCCCCCCTGCCCTTTAGTTCTCTCTCTAGTCGTTTGTTTTACGATCAGAGCCGTGATTTTACCTTCGGGCACAAAACAAGCTGAGGGCTGGGGAAGTCTCAGCTCTTAAACAACGGTGCCACTTCTAAAATGGTGAATCCAATTTTTAACACGTCCCCCCCCCACCCCCCTCTCGAGCTGCGCCCTGGTGCAGACCCTCTGGGTGCAAAGTTTCAGCTTCAAGCCAATTTGTATGGGCTACTTATAACACACACACACACACACACGCTGCGCCAAAGGGTAACAGATTGCACCGCCTGCCCCGGTCATTCCAGAGAGGGGAAATGGCAGCGCCGGATCTAAACCCCTCTGCCGGAGGCCCTACGTTCGCTCTGGGGACGAAGAGCAGCCGCGGTGTCAGCCCACCCGGCGGGTGTTTGGACGACAGAGGAGTCTGGTGCTGCCTGGTTCTCTGGCTCAGGAGGACGGGTTCGCAGACACAGGAGCTGGCTCTACTCACAGGGCGGCGGGCGGGTTTTCAGCAGGCTGAAGGCAGCGAGCTGGACTCAACCTTCAGTCCTTTACTGGCCAGGAAGGCATCCTGCTTGGGGTCTCGACCCAGGAACCTCCTCAACATGTCACACGCATCCACGGACCCTCCAGGACGCAGGATGTAGTTCCTGTAATCCATGCCCACCTGCAGGGGGAGACGGGGGGGGAAGAGAGACAGAGGGGGAGGAGGGATCAGGGCATGGGAGACCAGCGAGGGAGAGAGCTCTCATCCCGTAATGCTGCTGCCTGTGCTAACCCCCTCCGCACGCTCTGGGCTGATCACAGCCAGGGAGGGTCTCCCGGCGGATCACCTCGCCCCTCCCGCGGGGCCGATATTCCCACAGCAGGCAGCATTTCTATCACGCACTGGGGAGACAGACAGACAGGAGCTTCCATTACCTTACAGTTCATGATCCCCTCCTGCTTGAAGCGCGTGTGGAACATGTCCATGGAATACACTTCGCTCCAGAGGTAGCCATAGTACTGGGCATCGTAGCCTCCAGCCAGGTGGCCAAACGTGGCCGGCATGTTCGTACCTTGGGAATTAAGACAGACACGCTGAAGAGACGCGCTGCAGGAGTCAGGCACTGAGACAATTGCCTGAGGAGCGGGCGGGGGGAGGAGGGGAGACACACTGGACCATGACATCCTTGATTCAAGCTGCAAAAACCCGATGTGGAAATTTACCAGCCCAGGCATCAGATCAACTTCCCTGTGATCACCGGGGGGGGGGGGGGGGGGGAAAGAGAGGAGAGATTTTCCACCATGCTCGGCACTCGCTTAACGCTGCTCCCAATGGAGTGAATGGCTCGTTCCTCGAGCCCAGCGCTCCTCGACATGCCGCCCTAACTGTGGCTGACGTGCCCAAGCAGAGCAAGGCAAAGCTGCCTTGATAGGCTGGGGCTGGGAATAGCCAGTGGCTCTAGCCCCCCTGCTGTGGGGCACAGGGGAGCGATTTCTGCTGGTCTTTCGCCCAGCTGGCACCGAGCGTTTTGAGAGTCTGCCCTGGACCGTGCGGAGGCAGGAGGCCAGGAAAAGAAGAAAAGCTCCTTCCCCTTGACGTGATCTTCAGAGAGAAGATTTTACCGTGGACTGGGCGGGAGCAGCCACAGCCCCTCTCCCCAGAGCCCGTAGAACCAGCCTGCCCATCAGTGCCAGGTGGGTACCTGGGGTGGCGGGGATGCCCAGCACCTCCTCGCACAGCCGGGCGTACTCCTCCACGGGGTCTGCCTTCGTCTGGGTGTGAAGGGCCTGGTCCACCTTTGCCAGGACGATCTGACGCAAGTTGAACAGCCCTGTCACAGGAGGGGAGAGGGAGGCAAAGCGTGAGCCAGACAGCGCCTCCGCGGGGAGGCCACGGCGGGTGGGTAACAGCCGGCCGAGACCGGCTGCGAGTGCCTGCTTCCCCCCCGCCCCCAGCTCTGCCACGACCTCCCCAAGCCTGTCCTGCAACCTCCCACTATTCCAGTGCTGAGCCCCCCGCTCATGCCCCTCAATCCGGACCTGCAGCCCCTCCTGCCCCATGACTGCTAATGATCACAGGTGGGTTCCTTCCCCGCCAACCCCACCCCCCACCGGCACAGCAGAGGGGTGAGACAAGGCCGACCCCAACGGGAGGGGAAGGCACCATGGCTCCTACCTGTGTTCGCCTGCCTGGATTGGATGAGCTTCTCCAGCAGTTCGTCGGGCATGGGGCTGCCGGTTTTGTAGTGTTTGGACATGCGCACCAGGGGCTCCTTCTCCCACACCCAGTTCTCCAGCATCTGAGACGGGGCTTCAACAAAGTCCCGCTCCACATGGGTCCCGCTGAACATGGCAAACTCTGCCTACGAGACGCACACGCTGTTACAACGCAGCCCAGTCGGAGCGGACACAGAGTACCGACACAGATCCCCCCTGTCCCAGTCAGTGCCCACCTGGGGGTGAGGAATGAGCCAACCCAGCTGGCCACTGGAAGCCCACAATTCAATGATCGGGCTTGGCAAGCACGGAGATTGGAATTTAGAGCCTCCATCATAAGTGAGATGAGTTTGCTGCTCTCAGGCTTGTCCCCGGGAGTGTTCGCTTGTCCCAAGCCGCCGCACTGCGTGGCACAACGGTCAGTTATCGCATGAGTGTGGCAATGGATTGGCAAAGTGGGGGCTGCGGCTCATGGGCAGAGCTGGGTGGGATAGCAGAGTATCGGAGGAGCTGCAGGTTGGGATCGAGGGGCACCGGCAGAGCTGTGCAGGAGGATGTCTGCACCCCTTGCTCTCTGCCTGGCTCTGGCCAGCGCTCCACCCTTCTCCCCTTGCAGCATTCTGTGGCGCTAGGAGGAGCCAGCGCCCCGCTGGCCCCCATGCGGCCCCGCCCTTACCTGTGAGCAGAGCTGGTGCATGACATGGCCGAACTCATGGAAGTAGGTCTCCACCTCGTCATGCTGCAGCAGAGACGGCGCGTCCGGCGTGGGCTTGGTGAAGTTGGCTACCATGGCAGCGACGGAGATCTGACGGCTGGAGTCCGGCAGCAGGCAGCCCGGCTGCAGGCCGAAGCAGGCCGCGTGCCCGTACTTCCCCTCCCTAGAGTGGGTGGAGGAGACTGTCAGACGGACGTACCAGCACATCCAGCCCAGCCCCGTCACCTAGAGAGCCTATCAGAGCCCAGGGGTCGTCTACAAGGCACTGACGGATTCATGCAGGCCAAGTGCTCGCTGGGATCGGGTGGACCAACCGGACCCCTGTTCCTTCTCCATCGGGATCGAGGGACAGAGCCAATCCCACTGCAGGAGCACACAGCAGATCTCAAGCTGACCCTAGCAAGTGGTTTGGGACGGCAAAGCCCCCCAGCTGCCGTCTCCCCAGGATGAGTTATATAGGGGAGCTGGATGTTCGGCGCTTGTTGTGCTGCTTTGGTGGGAGCGGAGGTGGTCAGGCACCCACCAGAGAGAAGAGGGAGGCTGCAGGGATGTGGGATTCAGGACTTCTCTGGCGGCTGTGGGGGTGGCTGTCACTGCAGCTCAGAAGGGATGGGGAAAACACCCCAGGGCTGGGCCTCACGGAGGTGTCGGACAAGGAACACACCCCAGAGCAAGGCGCAACGGAGAGCTGCTGGGTGACAGTGGGAAACCCCACTCAGCACCATGCGCCCTCACCTCGTAGTCAGGCCCTGCTGACTGCAGGGATAAAGCTAACGCCGCTCTGAGGGGAAGGCGCGCAGTGCTGACGTACTGCCAGGGATGGATGGCACAAGGAGAGAGCCACAAACACAACTCTCGCCCTCAGGTGGCAGCGCCACACCCTGCCCGACTAGCCATAGGCAACCGGTTCCATAGTCACACTGGGAAGGAGTCCAGAGCCCAAAACCCTCCTGCAGACAGACTCCCCAGTCACTCCAAAGGGGGTGCGGGAGGTTCCCCCGTGTGCCTGGGTTACAAGATCCACCGTCCCCAAGGATCTGGCTCCTAAGCCCGTCTCCCTCGCTCTGGTGTTGCGGGGGACTCACCGGGGGTACAAATCCAGGTAGAATTGCCCGATGGTCTTGCCCGAGGCGATGTCCTTCACCGAGTAGAGCTGGACGTCCTCGTGCCAGACCTGGGCGTGCTCCTCCGGGTGGAAGCTCAGGCCCAGCAGCTCCTGGTAGATGTCGAGCAGGCCAGCAGTGACCACCTGCATGGGGAAATACTCCTTCAGCAGGTTCTGGTCCACGCTGTACTTGGTCTCCTCCACCTGGTTCATGTAGTAGCGCATGTCCCAGGCGTTGATGCGGGCGTCAAACTCCAAGTCCCGCTTCTTGCACTCTTTCTTCTTCAGGTCCAGGATCACAGCCCGTTCCTTCTCCCCCAGGGGCTTCAGCTTCTGGGCCAGCTCATCTGGACAGACAAAGAGGGGGAAGATGCATGAGAGAAGGATGTGCAGGAAAACCCAGACCCTCCCCTTCCAAAGCCAGGTGCGGTACCTAAGAAGGAAGCCACGGTCTTGCTGGTTTTCGCCATGTTCATTTCCAGCACAAAATCAGCGTGAGTGTCGAAGCCCAGGAGGTCAGATTTCTGAGCCCGCAGGTCCACCAGCTCCTTGAGGATCAAGCAGTTCTCCTGCAACGGAGAAGAAAGCTCAGCCTGTGGAGCTGGAAGTGCCGGGCAGAGAGGAGGCACGAAGGCCAAGGTGGAACAGAGCAGCCACCCCGGGAAAGCAGCAGCAAGTTAGTGCCCTCACGCCTAAAGGCTAGGCTAGGACCCACCCAAACCAGACAGCCCAGCCAGAGCCTCCACCACCCTTTCAAACCCTTGGCTTCTCCACTGAGAATGCTCATTGGGATGGCGGGTTGGGTGGCGCAGGCCCCTGGCCTGAGTCCCACCACGCTCGTTTCAAATGGGCCACTGAACTGTCCTCAGATGATGGTGGCCTGCAGTCGCCACTGATCTGGGCCAGGGTGACGCTTCCCCTGTGCCCTTGGCCAGCCGGCACCAAGGGGCTCCGGGCCACAGCTGGCACCGGTGACCTACATACGGAAACACTCTTTGGCGCTCGGTCCCCATGTCAGTGGCCTGGATGGGAGGCTGTGGCTTAGGGTGAAAGCCAGTGCTGTGCTCTAGGCTAACAGGTTTGCATGCTCAGGAGTTCTGCCCCAAGACCTTCATCCACCTACCTCCTTGCACCTGGAGTTGAACATTTCCTCCACCTTCCTCCTCGTCTCAGGCACGTAGCATTTCTTCATGAGGGGGAAATAGTGCGGGTACTTCAGGGTGACCTTCAGCTTGCCGTCCTCTGTCTTCTCCAGGGAGTTCAGGAAGTCCTCGGGGAGCCCCCCTGGAGGAGGAGAGGAGACAAAGACGGACGGACTTTGAGGGTTACCTGCAGACCCCCACACGGCCATGCCGCTCCCCAGGCAGTGCGCTCTGGGGCGGCTTAATCAGGAAGCACGGGAAGGACCTTCTTCCCTGCAAACCGGCGAGCGCACCAGCCAAAAGGGGCTTTGTGGCTGGGTGTAACTGGCAACTCTCACGCTGCTTCACCTGGACCGAAGCAAGCTCAGGCCAGCAGCAGCTGCCAGTTATTTCTACTGGCAGATTCCCGCTTGATCGGGCAGTTACAGAGCGAGCTCGGAGAAGACGGGTCATCGTCACAGAAGGGGGATGAACCAATCCCTGGAGACTTAGCGCCAGGAGAAGCAAATCTTCCTGGAGGCGCCAGTAGGCCTGGTTCCTCCGACCGCGAGCAGCCCTTACCCAGTTCCTCCTTGGAGAAGGGCAGGTAGGTGGTGTCTTCGTTCAGGTTCTTGTTGAAGTCAATGCAGAGCAGGCTCAGCCTTTTCTTAATGGCTTTGACTTTCTTTTGAAAAAATATAGACAGACACGTCGTCAGACCCAACTAAACCGGGGGAGGAAGCGGAGCATCGCCGTTGGCAGTGCGAGGTCAGTTCTGTGCGCACCCGGTCCCTTAGTGTTTGTTACTGGCTTCTCTCCAAACAGGGCCGGCTGTGCAGACACACAGAGATCTCAACCTGGGACAGGCAATCTCTGATCACGCCTGCTGGAAGCCTGGCCATCACGCCCCGGGCCCGTCTGTGTGTGGCCAGCTCAAGGAGCGGTGGGTGTTTAAGGTCCGTCCGGCCATCGGCTGATTTCATTTCCCCTGCTTGTCAAGTCCCCCAACCTCCCTCTAGCCCTTCCTGCTGCAGTGCGGCCCGTGAAAGGAGGGTTACCCTAGTCAAGCTAAATCTGCTCACTGTTCCGCAGCTCCCTTACAGAACCTCTGCCCCCCACATGCAAACTTCACGTTACTATCGCTCTCGGGCTGGGGGCTGCTGTCATTCCGAGGCTGCTATGTTCTACTGTGGCTCTCTTCAGCCCGGGATCCCAAAGGGTACAGAGATTAGCTCCCCAGGCTGACAGGTGTATTATCCCCACTTTACAGGAGGGAAAATCTGACTTGCCCTGAGTCAGTGATAGAGCCAGGAATAGAACCCAGGAGTCCAGGCTGACAGTCTTCTGGTCTAGCCACGAGATCACACTCCTTTAGCCGTAGTTACCCCTCTGTACAGCTATTTACCATACTATTGACAGTCTCACCTCCTGCGTCTCCTCCGGGAGGTGAAGGCCATTTCGTTTACCCAGTTTAATCAGCCTCTCTAGATACCTCTTCGCTTCAGGCCTCAGGGAAGCACTTTCCGCCTTCTCCTGTCAGACAAAAAGGGGGAGCGTCCAGAGCTGAAGGAGCGACAGTGCAGGGAGTGGGGTTTGCTAATCTACAGCTGCGACACAGCCACAGCAAGTTATTTGTGTAGGTCCTACGCACGGCCTGTTTCAATGTCTGCGGACCCCAAACTAGAGGAAAACACCCCCCTAGAAGGGTTAGATTCAAGAGGCTGGTCCCCACGGATCCCAAAGCCACATTACAAATCATTAGCCAACGCTGAGCCTCCATGGGATGTAGGTCAAGGTCACCAGCCTCATTTTAAAGATGGGGAAACTGAGGCACAACAAAGGGCCGGGACTTGCTCAAGGTCACACAGTGAGTCAGAGCTGAGACTAGATCCCAGAAGTCCCAATTCCCCAGTCTCTTGCTCTAACTACTAGACGATATTGCCCTCACATTGTGATTTAGTTCTAAACTGAATGGGACCGACAGTAGGGAGAGGGACTCATTGAAATTATAGGGAGGTCCCTGTGCACTCCCTGTTGGGATGCTGGGCCTGTCGTCTACTCAGGTTATCCTCCCCCCCCTTCCTCTGAACCTGGAGCCAGACGATCCTCTGGTACACGTCCTGCCTCATGCTCATCTCCACGTCGAAATCCGAGAGCTTTTTGTCCGCCTCCGTGCTCGCCGTGCGGATATCTTTGCGAGGGGAGACGTGCTGGGGGAAGTCCAGCGTGTTCCTCTGAACTGAAACAACAAAGCCAGGAGCTCAGGCTGCAGCAAGGGCCCCGGAGCGCTACAGGGTTAGTGTCTGAAGTAGGTGCCGGTTTCACAGTCTGGAGCCTGACACATAGCCCAAGTGGGGACAAGGCAAGCTGCTCCCACGGGCACGTCCCACACCTCACCCGGAACAACCCCTTCTAGCACAGAATTCGATCCGCCGCAGCTCATTCAGTCCTTGAGGTCTCTGTTGAGCCTCCTGGTCTCAGAGCCAGATCTGTGTGTCAACGCTACCTTGCAAGTTCCTTGAGGCAAAGATCTTGGCTTCTGACTGCTCCGGAAAGCATCATATGGCTCTGTTTGGCAATACTATGTAGGGCGTTGGTGACACCTGACCCTTGGCACCCAGCCTGCCATGACACACAGGCAGAGTGGTGTGGGGAAGCTCGCACAGCGGTTGCCCATCTAACTCCTGGCTCTGACCGGTGCCATCTGTCTCCCATTTTTCATGAGCACTAGAATTCAAGCCCTAGTTCTAGGGGAAATCCTATGACGCTGTGGAGGCCAGACAACGTGTCCCTGTTAAAAGATGCTGCCCTATACACAACCACTGCTGTCTGCTTAACCGGAGAGACAGGATTAGACAGAGCACTGCTGGGTAATCAGGAAATACCTACACATCCCGTTTGCCACTCCCAGGAACTCGGGGGTTCAGGATTGGGCCCTGGGACTCTCCCTCAGGTCAGCGTGGGCTGGGAAGGATGCACCCAGCTATCACCGCAGAACTGGCATGGAGAACACCAGTGTCATGCCAGCAAGGCACCTAGCAGTCAGAGTACCTAGTGCTCCCCTCCTAGAGATCCCAGCGACTTTGTTGTGGGCGCTGGATCTACCTCAAGGGCTACACCTCCCGCAGCAAACCTCATTACTGTAACTCCTCACTGGAGCAATCAATGCTGGAAGCTGCATCATACAAAGAACCTGGGCGTTTTGCAACTCAGGGATTTGATAAAGTCCAGCAGGGTTGGATTTTGGCCAAAGATAACAGGGTAGGGGGAGGTGCTTTGGTTTGGGGAGGTGCTCCAAACTCTGATTTTTTTAATTGTTTAATTGCTAGGAAGGTCTTTTGAGACAGACTAAAAAACCCCCAAATAATCACATGTTAAAACAATGCAGTTCTAGCATGGATGCTTCTCAAAGCCTCCGTGTCCACCGCCTGTGTTCTCCTTGCCCATTTCCACTTCAGAAGGCAAAGGCAGGGAGCATATCCCTTACCACCACTTCTGTGCAGCCCTGAACAACAAAACCCCGCAGCAGGGCACTGCTATCCCCACAGATCCACCATGAGAATTCTCTGTTGAACAGAGAATTCGGGTGTGCCCGGAAAGGGCTGACAGGTCTGCAGATGTTAACACCATTTCTGCTTAGTAAGGAATCTCCCACACACACTTTTTTTTTGTGTCTGGAAAAATCAGAGAAGGAGGGTGCAAACTCATGACACTTCCCTTGCACCACTGGTGGTCAGACTAGGGAAAAAAGATACTGCAAGCAGGGAAGGTTGTCTGATTTATGCACCATTGAGAATAAACAGGTGTTACCCTGAGGCCAGCTTCATTTATAAACACGGTGTTATTTTTTCCACAGCATTTTAACTGTAGTTCTAAAAAGAAATACATTGTTTACACAGAGAAGGGAGCTCACACCCACGTGTGCCCATCCCACATCTGATCATAGAAGCTAGAGATGGAAAAGCCCTGGTCCCCCAATCATCTTTCGGCCGATGCCTGGTTGTTTCCTACAGCACACTGTCGAGCCCTCTGTCCAGATACTGCAGCAACAGGCAACTTCAAAGTCTTAAGTGTTGCTTTTAAAAATCACAACTAGTGGGGCTTCCAGCAGCTCCTCTTGGAAACCATCCCACTGCCAAACTCACCATCAGGCAGATTTTTCCTGACATTCTGTCTCTGTTTCCCATCCAATTTCATCCCACTCTTCCTAGTT